CACACATTACAATGAAGTTTTATGAAACAGTACGCTACTACATTTCTGTGATTCCGCTCTACCCCCCCCCCACCCACTCGCCCAAGTCATTGTATAGGTTATTGTATAGGCCGCGTCTATAATTTGCGGCAGCGACCAGCTTCCACTAGCGACTAGAAAAGTATGGCTATCGATCTAGCGAACGCCACACACCAGCGTCCAGGAGTGGAGAGTATGGACAGGTAGGAGGGTAGCGGACTACTGCCAGAGTATGGGGAAGCAGGAGGGAGCACAGAGTTGGATTAAGTGTCTGAACCTGCGGCGTGCAATTTAATGTACGGTATTGTGTAGTAGCGGGAGTGTAACCGCACCCCGCTACTACACAAGTACCGTACATTAAATTGCATAATTCTGTGCTTTAGCAGTTGCACGGAGCGGTTGCACAAATTCACGACGCCTAATTCAGCTGTCTGCTACCTTCCTACTTTCCCCTCTACACTTCTAAACTGGTGAACGTCAGTGTACCTTATATCTATATCTATACTTTCCTTTCCTTTTCTGGCGCCGAAAGACGCTCGAGGCGGTGGTGGTCGCCGGTGGACGATGACAAACTATGAACGCAGCTTTATAATGCATCGCGTTTAGAATCCAATCTAAACGCAGCTAATTTTTGGAAAGGAAACCCAAATCCTTTTCGGTAGTCTCTTCAAAAACTTAAAAACAGCCCCAACTGGCAGTATCCCTCTGCATGATGACTGGATCATTTAAATTCTAGAGAAAACGGTAATGTTTCTTGAAAAAACGAACCTTCTCCGAAATCAAATGAAAGGATGGTGGCACCCGTTTCAATATCGGTAATAGTTGCTGTCGGTGACGTGTAAGCGGTAAGAAGTTGGCTTGGCTCAGTGGAAACAAAGTCTACCGATGTTGGTATGAGCCCAGCTGACGGAGCATCCAATGACCGTAGTAGCGGTTCTCCAAAGTTACCTAAAGTCGGAATTGCCATCCCTGTACCATTATTGATTAATAGCGAAAATCATGCCGGAATCATCATTCATCCAGGAATTACAATCATTCACTGAAAACGACCGCACATATGTACCTGGTTCCCAAAGCCTCACTGTGCCATCGGAAGAGGCAGAAACGAGACGATTATCCGAGGAGTGATATGCAATTGACCAAATTGCGTCTCTGTGTCCACGCAAGCGCTCACTCAGCACCTTAGGATCTGTAAGGTATGGTATTAGCTTGCCTGTTGTTTATCTTTAGGACGACAGGAAAGGAGGAAAACCCAAACGACCATTGGAACGGTCACTCATATGTATTTACGTATGCCCGCTGTAATCTTAATTTCATTCAAAATATGAAAGGAAAGGTGTTGTGCGACCTAGTGAGGAGGAGGGGAGCACTTACTAGTTCTCATCGACGAGGAAACCTCAAATTATACCTCAAATTACTATGAAACTATGAAGCGAGGGGTGGGCTCACCGAAAATTCATGAAATTTCCCAAGTTTACATTGATTCAAAGGCAGCAGACACCGTTGCTGGAGGCGGGCGATTGTTGTCGGCGTCAGTGGTGGAAGGGACTTGGCCTAACCCCCACAAAGCGTGGTGCGATTCGATAGAACGCCATAGTTCAGCCCTTCCACCAATGACGCTAACCAAGGCAGCTCGGAGAAGCTTTTACATTTAGCAGTTCCACTAGAAGTCAAAGGTTGCACCACGGCGGGAAAGTGAAGAAACTAACGAGTCTGCAAAAGCTCCCCCCCCCTCCGTCCTAACCGTGCAGCCATGACACTACTGTCCGAGCAATTCCACTTCATAACAGTAATTTACAACACTGAACTCACCATATGCTTCATACGGGTCTCCAGTAGTGCTAGGAACATTCCAGCAACAAATGACTCCATCTTTCCCACCTGAAAAACTTATCCCAATCACGAACAACGATGTTGCTTACCCTTTACTGCTCCACCCTTCTGAATTCAAGGCAGATCTGACTGGATTTTTTATCCCTAAGGAAAACTTCGCTGCGATTCTTACTCACTGAACACCCTATGAATACCACAGAAGCTCAGCTTGAAGGTTCAACCTCGTCTCAAAATACCAAGTGTGCTGAAATTCCGTCATGAGAGGGAAGCTGACCCCTTGAACACTAAAATCACATTTGCTCAGCGTGAAAGTGCCTGATAAGAGTTTTACGGCGTCAGCACCAAAAGCGAATTGCGATCCAGCGGCATTGCTTTCGCTTCTAGTGAAATTCGTGATCACAGGAAAGGGCGTGAGAAATAGCCTACTTTTGACAGAATTTACTTCAGAAGATTTCAATTATTGCTGGAGAGAAGTGCGACGGAATGTTGCCTGAATTTCAAAGAGTGGGCATGACAGGGGAAACAGTTCCAAAACAACATCTGACGATGATTCTGGCCTTCGAAAGAACCCAAAAATTCTAGCTGATAAAAACACTGTGCAAAAAAATACCTGTGAATAAATGGTCGCCGGTTGGTGAAAGGTCCATGCATAGAACAGGACCTAAGTGACCTCGGAATGTATACACAGGTTCTATCTCAGCAGTACTTCCTGAAAAAACCTATTTTGCACGAAGAAGGAGCCTGAATTTTGATTAAAAACTGAAAAGCCCCTGGGAAACGAAAATTCTACGAACTTATAGCATTACAGCTACAGCTGGAGCCATTCATTTGTATCTCAAAAAAGCCATTTCGTGGCATGTGATGGGGGTATTTCAGTCATTGCGGTCAGGTGAGGAAGCCATATGTTTTCCAATAATAATTTACTCTTCTCAATCAACTGTTCAATAATCAGGTGCTGTTCGGCCTGGGAAGGGCGTTTTGCACTTTCCTCGTTCCCTTTGCTAGTTCCTATTAAATTACACGTGACAGTGAGATCTCATTGAGAATTGTAGATCCTTGTCAGGTGTAAACGATGCTCCTGCTTTTGCTTAGCTCAGAGAAAATCACATGTGTCCACAAGAGGCATGAGAAGTGATCGATGAGAACGAGGGGAATGCCACCTCCAAGCCGAACTGCGCCATCAATCATGATATGATCCTAATTAGTAAGCAACCATTATCCCCTTTATTGCCGCTAGAAAACGTAAATGACACCTCTGAAAGGAACGTTCACAAAAACCGCATGCGTGGAGTTTTGTGTTATGAGAGAGGAACAAAAGCGGCGTAACTTCTGTATTAAGAAGCTGTAGAACTGGGCTACCACAAATGCAGCACGGCAGTGTTCGAAATGATAACTTTCTTAGGTTTACCTCTTAGGTTTACCTTTTGTATAACCTTGACACATTAAAAACTAACTCTCGAAAATTTCTCTATTTATTTCGTGTGGCCTGTCTTGAAACCTTTTTTAATTTGTCTTTCTTTTTATCTATTTTGGAGCGCACCTCGGAGTGTGTGTCTGCTTTGTGTCCTTCATACAAAGCCGCTATGACAGGCACTATAAAACTGAAAAAACAGTCGTTAGTTGCTCACAGACACCCCCTTACAACTTTACTTCCCAGTTCAAATAAGCTATTTTGTTAGGTTGTTATGATATTTCTCAAACAAAAATACACTTGCCCTAATTTTGAAGAGGTGTATAGATACCAGTCGCCGCCGGCTTAACGCCCGTCACGCCTCCTCTGCCATACGGCCTGGCTGCCGCCGGGGCCGTATTTTCTTTCACATATTTCTAGACTCAACTGATATCCGCCTTTTGTTCTGTACTCCTTTTCTTTTTTTTCCGGCGTCTTAAGTACTCTTGAGCTATTCTTCAGCACTCTTCGTTCTGACCCCGCGGCCACCTCGGGGCTGGCCCCGCCCACAATGTTTGTGCCCACATTCCTCACCGGCGACCCTCTGCTGACCTTAATCCACTTTTTCCGGTCTTTGAAGTGCTCTGGGACAGTTTTAGAGAATTTTCGTCTGGCCCCGCCCACAATATGTATACCCCACATTTCTCAATCGGCGACCCCTTGCTGACCTGAATTCACTTTATTCCGGTCTTCGGAGTGCTCTGAAACCGTTTTACAGAATTTTTGTCTGGCTCCGCCCACCTCGGGCTGGCCCGCCCACAATATGTATACCCCACATTTCTCAATCGGCGACCCCTTGCTGACCTGAATTCACTTTATTCCGGTCTTCGGAGTGCTCTGGAACCGTTTTACAGACCTTTTTGTCTGGCTTCCGCCCACTCGCGGGGCTGGCCACCGCCCGACAATATGTATTAAACCCCCACATTTTCTCACAAATCGGGCGACCCCATTGCTGACCGTTGAATTCACTTTATTCGGCTCTCCGGCGAGTGGTTCGGAAACCTTTTACAGACCGTGTTTGTCCGCGGCTTTCGCACACCGTCGGCAGGCAAGCGTTCCGCCCACAATGTTTCTGCCCGCACAATCCTCAACCCGGCAACCCGTCTGCTGGACCTTAGTCCACTTTTTTTTTGCCGGTGGGGAGGCTGGAAGTGTAAATGCTGAACAGAGCGGCAACACTTTTTTTAAAATGGATACCTCGCGATTAAGGGCAAGTTCCGCCCACTGTGGGGGCGGGTCTCAAGCACACTTTGAGCGTGCCCTATATTCGCCAGATATTTACATTCTACACTGTTTTTTGCGACTTCCAAACACTCTCGCGAACCGGGTTACTGAATTTTTGCGAGAAGCACCGCCCACCTTGAGTACGCCCCGCGCCATTTTGGATGTGTCTGCCACAGTTAGTCTGGCGACTCCTTACTAACCTTATTCTTTTTTCCCCATCTTTAAGCTGCTCCGGAAGCGAATTATGAACATTTTTCTGCGGAACCCCAAACTTTCGGCGAGTGCCCCGCCCACTGTGGGCGGGGCTTCCCATAGGTCAAGTGTGCTTTTTATTTCTTGTCCCATGCCCTACCCATCCCCACCTTGACCCGACCTCTCCAAGTCGTTCTTCAGGTCGAACCGAATTTCCGGACAGACAAACTTACAAACAGAAGCGCATTTATATACAGGGGGGGGGGGCAAAAAAAGTCACTTTTCTTCATTGACTTTCGAGGCGCTATAAGTTACACTTTATAAATTCTGATCGGACATTTTTACCACCATATTGAAGAGCATATTAAATACTATTACGACACTTCGCCACAGCCTTCTGGACGAGCGCCATCGAGGAGATTTCTTGCCACGCGGACCGTGATTCGGTGCTTGAGTTCAAAAGCGAGATAGGTCGGATTTCTCCGGGCCACGCGTAGGAACACCCAGTTGAACTCCGCCCGAATCGGGTAATTGAGGGGATTACAGGTCAGGTGACCTACTTGGATATTCCATCTCCTTTAGGTACTCAACGCCCTTCCATTCCAAGTAGGCGAGAGTTTTTCCAACGCCCTTCGATTCCATGTGGTGGCACCCAATGCTGTAGCAGTACAAAGTTTCCAAGAAGGTACGGGATGTGAGGAGGATATTCTTCACGAGTTGCTCGATGTAACGCCAGCGCTCACCTTCAGTCCGGGGCCCACGAAGAAAATATTGGTCTTTCCATTCCAGGTACGTCCGGTCCATACCATCAACCCGCGCCTTGGCGACTGTGGTGATGATGTCCTAGACCGTAGCGACGTTGTCGGAGCTGCTCGATGTTGGAGGTCTTCGAGAGTACTGGTCTCCAGGTAGCTATCCATGGGTGACTCCATACTAGAAGTTTCGCAGCTGTTTGGAGGTGACATGAATTCCAAAGGTCTTCTCCAGTCAGGCTGCGACTGGAGATGACTTCATATTTTGGTGTACATGAAGGTGATGGGCGAGAGCCAGCTCCTGCTTATAGAGGAACATCTTGGGTATCTTCCGCCCTGGTACTCGTATCCACGTCCTCTGTCTGGGCAGCGAAAACTTTGCTGATATGTGACTCGGTCGAAGTGACTTTTTTGGCCCCCCTGTATATAGGGTGATGCCGAAAGTGGAACTTTTCCTACTAGCACTACTTCTCTCCCACAACTTCTGTTGCATTATGGACAAGAACTGCGCCCAGTACCGATAGCGACCCTCTCCCTCTAACTATTTTCTTCTACCACCCTGTCTCAATCATGAGCTGCTGAGGCCAGAATAAAGGAGCTGCATATGGACTCCCCCTTACTCATCCCCTATCATAAGACAATCTTACACATCGCCAAGCTACCGGATGAAGAAATGCTTCCGCAGTCAAACTCTATACAAAGCAGCCGCTAGATCTGAAGCGAAACGCCTATCAGAGATCTAAATTTGTCCGCACAGCCTCTCTTGAACATGACATTGCACACCATACAGTCTAAAAAAGTCGAGCTGAACCCTAACGACAGAACCTTCCTGGCAATCTAATGTTAACATTATATCGCTTCCCTTCCCCAAAAATTCCGTGAGCAGCCCACCCTATTATTTAGGAACAGAAGGAAATGAGTTACTACCCTCGTGCTAGAGTAATGACACCTACCCGATTTCTCCTTGGCTCCGTCAAGATTCCACAGCTTTGCAGTCCCATCCTCTCCAGCTGTGATCAATACTGGTTCAACTGGATGAAACTAAAATAGTCATAGCAATTCGTGGAAATGGAATATAAAATGAATGTGAATATCTAAGCAAGTATAGTCGATTAACCTGCATTGCACGAATAGCGTCGAGATGAGAACGCAGAGTCAATTTCACATTCCATTTTGCTGCCTTTAAAGACTCCTCGTCGTCCTGAAAATTAGGAAGCATCTATGATCGATCTAGCCACGAACTAATGAAGGGAGAACGGCTCCTCAAAAAATAACCTCTAAAAACCGTCAACCCGTAACTCTCAGTGAATAAGCCTTCCCCGCTGCTACCAGCGGGGAAAGTTTATCATTTGGCAATACTCAGACTGATAAGAGTGCGATATGCTCAATGAGGACACTGTGAATTCGACGAGACTTGGGTGGTCCGTTGTCGCCAACCTCATTGGTGGAAGGGCTGAGTGGGTGTGGTCAAACGCCCTCTCGCAGCCCTTCCACCAGTGACGCTGGCAACAACCGCCCGCCTCCATCAAATGTTTCAACTCCCTTCAGACACGCTTGACTGCTTCCGAATAAATGGGAACACGCACGTGTCTACACGCTCTTTTTTCGTCATTGCCTCAACATACATTACCTTCTATCACAATATTACTTATATTCCCCAGCCGTGAGGCAATTTCGCATGAGCTCACGGAAATAACGTCCACTATTAATTCTCATGCCTCATTCTACATTGAAGACCAAATTGGCGAATACAGTTTGAAGGTTCTGAGAGTCAAATATGACTTTGTAAATGCTAATTAATTCCCACGTAAAAACAGCTGAAACCGAAGATGGCTCTAGATTGGACAAGTGTTAGTAGGAGCGAGATAGGCGAGAGCAGAGACAAATCAAGAAGTGGGCGTGGTGGGTGATGACAATCCCGATGGACGAGTTTTTCCGCCGGCCGTTTGCAAATGAGGGTCAAAGGGGTGGGTAAATTTGGTAACGATCGTCATCGAACCTTGTCTCCACTTGAATTCACATGAGTTTCGCCGCACGACACGCTGCGTGGAACGACGCGACAAAATACGCTTGTCTTGAATGTCTCCATTTCGTTCCGGATAAGGCAAATGAACACCGCATCCCGCCTATGGCAGCCGCAGCCCTCCCCCCCTACCC